TGCAAACACTGTATACTAATGATTGTAACCGCAGTAAATGAAGGCTGAATGCATTTTTTGTCTTCTTGTCAACATTTATTGTGATGTTTATTTTTTAGATGTTTTAGATCTTTCTGTGAATATTTGAACATTTGTATGAAAACGAAAACTTGTATGTAAAGTATAGCTAATTTCTTTTTCTTTAATTTACAGCTGCTATATATTTGCCAAATGCTCCTGTTTTAGAAGAAGAACCTGTTTCATACATTCTGCAGTTGTCGGACAAATGTCAGAGCAAACAATGAACTTTAAGAAATAATAAATGAAGAGATGACAGCCATAATACGAATGCCAACTCCTTAAACCCTAAAGTCCTCTCCTAATGACACAACACATTTTGGTGTCTCATTAGTTACCAAATAGTTTACAGTAGTCAGGACTGAAAATAATAATTATTTTAAGTCTTGTTATTATTATCAAGTCTTTGGGGTGCAAGATTTATGCATTTCAAATTATTCATTTATACTTTACTGTATACTGTACTATAGTTTATTGAACTGTTTTGTGTCAAACGTTTCATTCATTTGTCTCAATTGAACTTTGTCTGGGACAAAGTTCTTTGGAGTTTAGAGCTCACTTAACAAGTCTGTGATTTAAGGTAAATAAATTGTTTAAGAAAGAAAGAAAGAAAGAAAGAAAGAAAGAAAGAGAGAAAGAAAGAAAGAAAAAAAAGAAAAAGGGAGGGAGGTAGAGATGATTGTGTGATGAGAAAATATGAATGGGTAAGATGAATAAACGCAGACGGTGGGTTGGAAATCTTAAAAGAAGATTAAAAGATTGTTGCCCCTCCCAAAAAGAAAACAAACAAACAAACAAACAAACAAACAAACAAAAAAACATATATCTCCAAAATTGTAACTTTACAGGAGAAGGTAAAAACGTTCTTAACCTTTAATGCAAGTTAATATAAAGAGATTTCATTGCAAGTAATTTTGGAGCATTTCTATTGGTTCACATGGTTCATCACAATGTAATTTTCCCACAATGCAAAGGGCAGCTGCTGTGTTCAAATGATGTAGAAAAATAAATGTAGAAAAAAATGGAGGTACATTTTTTTTTTTTATTTACCGTTAATGTCATATTCTACAGTGGTTGTAAGGCTGCCCTGCATTTTTGTGTTTCTCCTGTTCTAACACACCTGATGCAACCAACCTGCTAATTAACCAGGCCTTAATAAGATATAGGGGCTGAGTTAGAGCAGGGCAGAAGTCCGGAACCGGAACTATTAGTGCTAAGCCTTCCGTTTGAGCCATAAATATTTGTGATAATGCTCATTTCCCTAGGGGATTGTAGTAGTATATTAGTGCTACGCGAATGCTGATTCATATGAACATATTTTGGCCATTAAATATGGATATTTAATGCTTGTAAAAGATATTCCATATTTTGATGCTTGTAGCATACATTAATATATATTTAACCCTGTATGTTGCAGTGTTAGTTTTACTCTTTTACTAAAGAGCCCTGTCATAGAGCTGCTATTGCTGGTTTCCATTTGTTACATCTGACTGAAATGCATTCATCAGTTTACAGCTCATATTTGACATATCAGGGGGTCATTTAGTGGAGCAGTGCCTCCATGCACAGATCCACCATGCAGCTATTGTTCCATATATTTCATATATATGGCGGGCTGTGTCACTGGCAATTCTAGGACTTTTTCGAGGTGAGGCCATAATGAGGCCACAGTTCCTGTTCAGGTGCCAAATAATTGGATTCAAATTCTAAGAGCTCCATAATTACTCACAGTATCTATTTAATATATTTGTACATATTATTTTCATCATACAGATATATTATTTAGCATGGTTTACATTCGGCAGCAGACATGGTAAAATTCAATCGTGAGGCTGATAATTTCACAACTACCAAAGACAGACATGCAAACTTGTAAGCAGTGAAAAATGGCACAAGTTCAGAAACCAGTTCCTTGTACAGGGTCCAGAGTCTTGGAACATTTAGCTTAGAACATTTAGCACATCAATTTAAGACAAAAACAAAGTGGTACTTAGTTGCAAACAATATGATTTACTCATACTAGCCTTTTTGCACCCACCGTTCTAAAGCTAATAAAAGGAGATATCATATTTGTGAAAATGAAACTAACTAACCAGTAACTTTAGCTAAGTTGTTATTATTATCCAGCAGCACTCCTGAAACTCTTTCAATCTACACAATTCACATGAGTAGCATATTGACCATTCAAATCCAAGAATTTTACGGAACTGTGACAAGTTTGTCAGTGCTGTGACTGCAGGTGGTGAGTGTCTGGAAGGGGGGCACTTAAGGGACCAACTGTGGCCCCACCCTTGGATTCCCCCCGGGCTGTGTGGATTAGGTTCTGGTGCCGGGCCTGTCTAGAACTAGGCCCCACATGTCCTAGAGTGTAGTTTTTCCTCACAAAATTGATTTACCCACTGGAAATCAAAATATGGTTGGTTGATTCCTTTTTAATAGACCATTTTCACATTTTTGTATTTAGCGCAGTGGAAGTTGTCATAGTAGGGAAAACATTACAGCAGTGACAGTGTTTATAAATGAGAATACATTATTATATAATTTTTCCATGAAAGGCATTTGTTTGGTGGAGTGGATTTCATTATCAGAGACAGACAAGCTTGACAAGGGCTACAAGTTTCTCTTTGAGAATTACCTGACCAAGAAGGTACACTTAAGGATCTCATGACAAGTTATCCAACGAGGTTAGCAAAATTTTGCTGTCTAATATTTACTAGAATGTAGTCAGTGTTGCGCAGGTTGGGAATAAAGTTAACAGAGTCAGTTATAACTAATTGTCTGTTGGTCGTATTATGTGATTTAACTTTACATTTTCCCCTAGTTAATGTTAAAGTTGTTGTTAAAGTGCCTAAATTCACCAGAATATAACTCTGTACCTTTAAAATGGAACCAAATTTGAATATGTTAACATATTAAAATATTAGACAAAAATAAAATTAAATAGTTTAAAACTGTACTTTTTTGAGCAACCCATTTTTTGTGTCCATAGCCATGCCGTCAGTAGTCTACTTTTAATACCTAGTTTACTTTTAATACTCTCAACTTCTTAACGTTGTCAAGCTTGTTTATATCTGAAAATGAAAACTCCTCTGCCAAACAAACAATGTCTTTTGAGGATAAATTAGGTAAAGTCTTTAATAAGGATGTAAAAATGTATGAGTGTGAATAAACACCACCATGGTTTAATGTTTTCCCTACAATGACAATTTGTGCTGTCTCAATTACGTAAGTGTGGAAAAAGTCAATTGTTAGTCAGAGGTTAATCTGACTTGTTAGGCATTCAGTTCAGCTCCTGAAGTCCTGACCAATGAGAGACTAGACTAGACTGGCTGTATCTACCTAGAACCCATGGAGGAAAAAATCCTGATTAGGCAGTTTTCTGCTTTGCATTTCAAGATTTTAACCCTTTTGTTACCAACCAAAACTTAATAAAATAAAAAATACAACATGCTTGATGATTATAGTAAATCAAAACGAACTAAAAATTACAGATATGTATTTTTATGTCACAAATATCATTAAACCTTCTCTAAAGGCCTAAAACACCCTGAGGTTTCCCACTGGCAGAAGTACTTCAGAACTAGGGTTGAGGAACACTGTTTTTGCTTTGCTTGCTTTGACTCAGGGAAGTAGCATCAACCAATATTACAGACATATGAGGAGAGTATATGGAGTGTGATATATAAATGATCTATCTAAGAATATAAACACATAGTAATGTGGTCTGATTTCAGATGACATATTTTACAATATTGCCTAATACAACATGAAAAAAATACTGGAAGCAAAAGTTGAAGTCAGGGTAACGTGACAGAAAGTTAAGACATATTTATTCATTTATATTAATTCAGGTTTTAGCACATTCCAATTGTCAGATCCTTTATAGATACTTTAAAGATACTTTAGGAAATTACTCATCAGAATTGGATTTGTTTATTTTGGTAGGATTTGGAATAATTTTTTAGGAATAAGCCTGACTGGAAGAACTATTTATCCACCAGAGGAATACAGACAATAAAACAAACCACTGAGTTTTTTTTTTTTGTTTATATTTTTTATGATTGAAAATACTCAGAGCATGAACACATATTTCATTGAATATTTGTTTAATCCATTATAGTTGTTTTCAACAATAATCCAAATTTAGTGTAGTCAGTTTTTAATAAAAATCCAATATTCAGTCACTTCTGTGAAGAATCCAAAATCGGCTTAGTCAATAAAAAAAAAAAAAATAAAATCCAAAGTTGGTTTAGTCAATTCTAAAAAAAAATTTTTAAAAATCAGTTGTCATTTTTAAAAAATCCAAAATCAATTCAGTCAATTCTGAGAAAAAATTGAAAATCCAATCACCACCTTTAGATCACATCACATGCACTGACACATTTTACAGCCCTAGTGTGAAATATAGCTCTCAAAATTAGTCACAGGGACCAAATAATCTGTTCAAACATACTACATTACAAAAAAGCCATGCAAACTTCATATGTGAAAAAAACATGTGTTTTTGCACACTTCACATGTGTGACTTTTCTGTAAGGGCTTATTTGGGCTTTTGTCGGCTTTGATGCGAAGTGGTTTGATGCGAAATGGGTTATTTGTAGAGAAACTCACTGAGTCTGATTTATTTACGGTGGTGGTGATAAGAACCAGGGGTCCTGATGTCTAACACAAATATAGGCATTTATTTAATATCCAAAACCATCAACATACATAGAAGTCTTCTAAAGTTTTTATATGAAATGTTGATGATGGTAAAATAGTGGTAAATCTGAAAAAAAGTTTTTTTGGGGACTATTTTGCCTTAGAACACCCTTAATGTATCCTTCCACCATGAACAGATTAGAATAAATTGATTAAGATATGTTTTAGGCCAAAACTTCAAAACTACTGTAAAACAATGTCTCAGACATCAGGCTGAGTATTCATAACCATTTAATGTAATAACTGCCTGTGATGTAGCTTTTAGAGGCCTTAAACTCTTCAGACATCTAGTTCCTATCATTACCATTGCAAACAATTCTGACTTACAAAGTTTCTCTAGAATTAAGCATTTTGCACCAAACTACTCTGAATAACTTTGTTTACATCTTAACCATTTAATTATGCAGAATCTCTGAAAAATCTGTGGAGTTCCCCTTCAAGCCCAATCAGGAGTATGGAGGAACAACAAAGATGTGGATCTCCAGGAGTTGTGAACTACTGTATCAAAGATGCTTAGAATCAAATAAGAAGGCATACACTGCAGTGACTATGGTATTAGCTTGATGAAACATGATAAAACATGAGTAAAGTATGTTTAGTATATTGTATTTATGTAATTGTGTACGATTATGGGTGCTGACTAAAACACATGATAACCTCTTTTGATTTTGACACTATTCATACATGATACCAACTCTGAATACAAGACAAGAGAGGAAGAAAATAAATTACAGTAATACTTATGATAATTAAATAATATCATGATGAACAGTTTAAAACAGTCTCAGGCCTTTTTCTACATTGTTCCCTTACAAGGCAGGAAGCAGAGTCTTAATCCAACGTTTTACTGTCTGGTTTCCATCTTCAGATTAATAAAGACACAGAGAGGGGAAACAGGTAGATGACCAGACAGGTTAGTGACCTGGCAGAGGTGAAATGTATGTAAAACTGAAGTGAATACGCCTGTTATGCTGATATGTTTGGTGGTCTAAAGGCATAAGACAGGGCATAATTAATGGAGGAAGCTTATCTGGGTGGAGTAGGAAATGGGGCAGCATAAGGAAGAACTGGATAACAGAAGACTTTTTGCAGTGCTCTATCATACACACAGACACACATATTACAGAGCTAACCAAGTGAGTAAAGATTCTGGAAAATATGAATGATACAAATGATAGAGCGAAATGCTGTACACTTATATCTGCCAGCTCACGTTCAGTTTTGAACAGAATTATAAGCTTGGCTCTCAAACTTGGCATCCATTCATGAAATGGCTAACCATTTCACTTGACCGCTCCAATATTCAGACCGAATCAAGGGCTATATATTTACAACTGTGCATTGGCAGATGGCCATGGTTCTCAGTCTGGTCTTCAGGGTCCCTCAGATGGTACACATTTATGCTCCAACCCTATCTGTTGGAAGCTGAGACAGCACACATGTGGGCCATCTAGGGGGTCTTTGAGGGCCAGCTTGAGAACCACTGTACACTAAATGTTATTGTATTTAAGGAACAATTAGGTGGTTAATTACCAAATTACTGAACAACAAAAGACAATAAATGCCCAGTGAATACACAGTAAAAAACTGAATCTTATAAACTATATTGCTGGAATTTCCATGTTAAAGTGCCATTTATTACTTACTTAATCAGGCAGTGAAAATGTAAAAATGTTCAAAAGCCAAACCTAAAAAACACGAAGCTTTTACAAAAGCTAATGGTTATACAAAAATGTTTCATTTAAAAACTTTGAAAAAACTTGTGTGTTCATTAAGGGCTTGTCTGTGTCTGTGTGCAGGTGAGTCTTACTAATGTGGAAGGTGAGTTCTAAAGATCAGCCTATGGCAGTAACCAAACTAGTTTGGTGGGTGTGGCTAAAGGCTGGATGTAACTCCATGGGCGGAGTCATGGTGAAAGTATTGGTAATGTGGTTGAAGGCCAGTGGTTTGTCCCTCATGATACTGGTCATATGGTGTGAGCTCTCCCCTCTCCTTCTCTTAGACTTGCTGGACATTTTCCTGTTTCGAGTCTGAATACCTTCTTTCTTCATAGTGAGTGGACGATTCATCTGAGAAATGATCACAAACAGTCATACATATGCATATACACATTTAGTGCCAAAAGCAGAGTGAGTAGCTCAGCTGTTGCTTTGACAATTAGAAGTCCAGTTTGTGGTAAAGGTATTACAGTATTACAGGTCACTGACTCTTCTGTCAGCAGACATGTAACACACAGACAATGACACTCACATTGTGCAGTTTGTAGTAAAGGCCACAGGCATTGCAAACAGGCTCTCCATTGGCGTTACGTCTCCACAGTGTGGTAGTGGCTGTCTGGCAGTTTGCACAGCAAGTACCCGCTCGCCTGGCTGCTGACTGTAAAAACACACACACACACATATATATACAGAAAATTCACACTAATCTACATAGTTCATAGAAGACTGCTGTCTCAAGCTGTCACCTCTTTCATGTATATTTTAACCTAGTAATGGATTAATGGAAGAATTAAAAGATAAAACCAGCAGCTTTCCATTCTAATTTAACAGAATTCCTGAAATATTCCTGAAAAATGTATGCAAGTATTTTATGTAAACTATTGTTTTATGATTTTAGATGTTGTTTCTGTCTACTTCTTATATATTTCATTTAATTACCAGTTAATTTATATTTATGGATTGTATATATTATATATGTATATATGTTATATGTTTCTAACATACATAAAGGATTTGTTCAGTATTTCTCCAGAAAAACACATTTTGGTGTACGTGCAATACTGTGCAAAGTCAGATCCTTTTGTTTGATCTGTTTCCAGTCAAAACAGTAATTAAGTACAGAAAAGAAATCAGGAAACAGAAACATATAACAGAGTCTATCAAATCTTTCTAAAGAGCAGCTAAAATGGATAATGAAGATATTTCTGATGGGATTAGATATAAGACAATCCACTTGCATAAGGAAGAGGGATGAGGAATAAAATGTAAACAGAAGTTTCCTAAACTGGAGTTCAAATTAAAAAATAGAGAAAATGGGGCTCTAACAACCATGTAAGAGCTGGTAGACCACCAAAACCATCAGTATCACTATCACCTTTGAGAGAGATGAGAAAATCAGTCTCTGTTTTTGTCCATCCTCCAGAGTTAAAAAAAAACATATAGAGACTCCTAACAACTGTGCAAGATGCCAGAGCACAAACATCATAGAATTGGTTTGGAATTACTTGGATTATAAAAATCAGAGAGTGCAACCAACTTGACTGAAGACTGAACTTTAGAGTTGTTTACAAGAAAAAGCATCATTGCAGATTTCTTTGAAAAACTGAAAGCCAGTCTCCTGAACAGAATGGAAGATGTATTAAAGGTAAAAGGTGGTCACACTAAATACTGAAAAGTTTGATATTATATTTAGTTGTTGAGGCCTCCATGTGATTTTCTGCCAAAATACCAATATAGTTTTATAAAAGTAAATATATGTTTTTGGACTGTTCTTTTAAACGTCAGACTTTACCAACTGTGCCCTTCACCTGAACACTGCGGAGAGCTGCGGGCTAATAAATTAGGTTATTTGTGCTGTTCAGTCCTACTTACATTATGGCCTGTGTGAGCCTACAAGAGCCCCTCCATCTCCCCTTTCCTCCCAGCCCTTATGTTTCCCTTGCATGCTGTTTTTTTCTCTTTTGTATTCGCCTCCAGAAGTACAGCACTAAGCGATAGAAGCGTTGCTCGACTCTCTGCAGCGTTACTTTTTCCCCATCCGTATTCCGACAAGACCCGCCCCCACGCACTGGGATTGGCTGGTAGCTTCAGCCACCTGCGCTAGGACTGGTTAGTCATACTTGCAAAAAGTTCTCGGTATAACCATGAGCTACTGGCCAATCCTAACGCATAGAGATGTGAGGCGTCTGAATACGGGTGGGAAAAAACAACCCCTGAGAGGAAGCGTGTTCTCGTGGGTCCTGCTTCGCTATCGGTACCGAGCAGACATCCGGGGCCAGGAAACAAGTGGGCCGGCCCGTGTGTGTCTGCGAGAGAAGCGCAAATATACGAGCTGCAAGAGCACAGTAAAGCAGGCTGAACGCCAAGAGTCTCAGAAAACACCTGAGAGGAAAGAATGGCTGGGACTTGGACTGGGTCAGGGTGAAGCCTATAAGGAGCAACAGAATGAACAGCAGCATAAGAGGAACTTAAAGTATCACCAAAACTCTTTAGAAGGAACAGCATGTATGATAGGAACTTTCCAAGAAGCATATATTCATCTGAATGTATTAAAGTATTTTTTACATGCATAAAATAACACACACACACACACACACACACACACACATATATATATATATATATATATATATATATGTGTGTGTGTGTGTGTGTGTGTGTGTGTGTGTTATTTTATGCATGTAAAAAATACTTTAATACATTCAGATGATTCAGTAATTTCAGCTGAGCATTATTAGCCTTTTAAAAGGTCATTTTTGTGTCAAATGTAGTAAAAGAACAGCTGTGGTTTCTGACACTGTATGACATTTTGTTGTGTATTAAAATGGGGAAATATGTAAGTCAAACGTAGCAGTAGCCATCATTTGTCTATTTTGGAGGTAAGGGGGAAATAGTGTCATTTTTTTTTTTTTGCCAAACTATTAATTTAATGTTGATGTTGACTATTTAATTCTCTTTGGTCTTCATTACCTACTTTCACCCACTTCAACACATAGTAATTACAGGCCAACATGCAGAAGCCTTGATTAATCAACAGAACTGTTAGGCTATTAATAAAATGTAACGCTGTAGAGCACTCAGATTGAAAATATGCAAGGATTCAAATATTATGGGGGATATAAATGGACATAGTGTCCTAGACTTTATTAACTGCGAACAGTAAAAAATGGTTTATTAATAGTTGGCATGTTTATTATCATAGGTCGGCATTAAGTCTGTTTCAGTTCAGAATCTTATTCAGAGGTGGCCTATAATACCACAAATGCAGATGTCAATTTGATCGGCCTCTCAGGGAAGCTACTAGTGTCTGATATCTGATCAGGTTCACACTTATTGTTTCTAATTAATTCTAATTCATTACTTGCTATTTAAGCCTGTTGACACGGCCATGGAAACTCAATGGTCCATGGTTAGTAATCCTCTCTCTCTCTCTGTCTGTCTCTCTCTTCCTATTTCCTTCTCCTTCTTTTGCCCCCAATCTCTTTAACCTGCTTTTCTATCTGAGCATGTAATTCAAGTAAACGTTCATTCAGAAACCACAATGGCGGTGTAAAGCACCACTCCACAATGAAGACTCACAGTTTCTGCACTTCATCAGCCCCTTTTTAAAACTCTGACAAATGGTTCAAATGGTACTTTTCAAAATGTAATTTCTGCAGTTTAACATTAACTAGACACAAACTTAATGTTTTTTAACTAATAGAATATTTCTAGTTATATCTATTTACTGTGTTGGACTTACCAGCCGGCGTTTGGGTCTGATGAGTGGTCTGTTCTGGCCGTTCATCTTGTGGTAGAGTCCACAAGCATTACACAGGTAATGACCTGTACCGTCCCTCCGCCACAGAGGAGTGGAGGTCGCCCCGCAGTTTACACACTCCCGGCCTTCACACACACACACACACACACACACACACACACACACACACACACACACACACACACAGAAGAGATGTGATAAGTTTAGAAATCAGTAAAGGACATTAGCAAAAGAGAAGTCAGAATACTTCAGCTTTTCACTGAACTCAATGAAGCTGATTAGAGCGATCATTAAATTTAGAAGATTTGGTTGTGATGAACTGATGAAACACTTCACTTAAATCTACAGAGAGACTAACGTGTATTTTCAGTGACAAACGACAAAAAACGATTCACGCTTTTAAGGATCCTAAATCATCGCCACGCGCAATTATTCAGACGGTGTTCAGGTTAATGATGACTTTCCCACCTGTTTTCCAGAAGCCCCGCCTCCTGCGTTAGGATTGGCTGACTGTTTGGCGGACTGCTTGCGAGAGTGAACTACCAGCCAATCCAAGTGCAGGTGGCTGAAAACGGGTGGGAAAACAGCCAACGGTGACGGCTGTTCCGAAACTACTTTACAGAAAATCCAACAAACACGAGTTTTCCTCGATGTTTCGCTGGATAGTGATTTTATACATTTTTGTACAAGTTCAACACGTTTTCTTGCAGTATTTCTTCACTAATTCTTGCAGCCTCTTCTGAAACGGATCTCTTTATATTTTTGCTTCCACACATACAAAAGTAAAGAAATGTTGAGTTGAAACTCTAGCAGCAAATTAACACCGACAAAAACGCAAATTATGCTATAGCGGTGTCCGAACAGTGGTGGTGAGGTCTGAATGTTTTGCAGCGGTGTAGAGGAGAGTAGCCTAAAACATTATTGTTGTTTTAAAGTATTTGTTACTTAAATGAACTATGGCGAATGACTAGAGTAGGCTAAATGTGGCTACCAAAAAACAACTCGAGTAAAAATTCTCAGGCCAAGAAACTACGTAAGTACTGAATGTTGCAATATACATATTTTGTAAATATCCAATTTCCATTTCTATTTCCATTTCTGCTCCATTCTCTTAGCTGTACATACTGTATGTACCTCAGTGTTCCAGTACTTGATTGTATCTGTACTGTGTTGTATCTCCCATCCTTTTACTCGCAGTTTGTTTGTACACTGTTTGTGTTTATATATGTATGATGTCTTTTTCTGCATGTATTTTATTGAACTTAATTTTATGTTGAGGAATCCCTTCAGGCTTAAAAAAGATGGTTCTTCAATCGTTCTTTATTAAAAAAAAAAACAATAGAAGAACTCTTTTTGGTGCTATGTAGAGCCCTTTTCTAAAAGGTTCTATATACAACGCATTCTTTATCAATCTAAAGAAACCATTTCACGATGCAAAGAACCCTTTAATCATGCAAAGACTTCTTTGAGTGATCATGGTTCTACACAGAACCCTTTTCATTATTAAAGAACCCTTGAGGAACCATCTTTCTTTAAGTGCACATTCTGATTCTGATTGTGAGTCTGAGTAACTTAGTGAACTGCAGTTGAACTTCTTCGAGCACCCACCATCTGCACAGGGTCTGTAGTGTGTTTGGCGCTCTTCTTCTCTGTTTGGGATCCTTTTGGTCTGAAATAAATTACTGAATTCTAAAGCGAGAGGAACGAGCAGCTGAACAGTCATCAAAAAGGAAATTAGGAACTAAACGTGAATGACTGAAACGACACTGAGTAAACCGTCGATTGTTTCCTCACAAAATACGTGAGCAGAAGTGAAAATCATTTTAAAATACCCAAAATCTGCAGACTGTCCTTAAGTCCCAGAGTGGGTGAGTGAGTGAGTGAGTGAGTGAGTGTATCTAGTTCGTGGTGCCTGGCTGTGTCAGTGCTTCTCTTTATACGCACCAGGGCTCGCTCTGTGTTTGCTCTTGGCTGTTCCCGGTGGTCTCTCTGCGCTCTCTCGCGCTCCCGCCGCGCTGTAATAGGTGCACGCGCGCTCGCTCGGGCCGCAGCTCTCCGTCTCCAGGCCGTCCAACAGAGGTGTTGGGGTCGTGTCGGTGGGCGGTGTGGGGGGCAGGCGGCAGGGCTGCGGACAGGAAGCCGGGAACACCGGACACGATTTAGAGAAAGAAACGGGAGTCCAGGGAGGCGCGTGCTGGTGCGCAGGAGGAGCCGCTCTCGAGGTGTCCATCCAGGGGAAAGGTGGAGAGTGGAGGACTGGGGGTCTGTACAGGGAACCACCGGACAGTCGAGCTGGAAATACAAAGGTAATAATAAGATTATAATTAGAAAGATGAGCATTTAATGAGCTTAATTTGACATTTGTTTTCCTAAGGATTAACAGTCAAATTATGCGGACTAAAAATACACAAACATTGGACATTGAACATAAACGTTAAGATGGCACAGCAGTTTAAATATCTTATTTCTAAATATCTTGAAAAAGTAAACGGTTAAAACAACAACAGAAATACCACCACCACCACCAGCACCAACAACAACAACGACAAAAACAACAACAACAACAACAACAACAACAATAATAATAATAATAATAATAATAATAATAATAATGGCTTCGTCCATAAAATGATTTTATAGGGATTTAATGAATTTATAGGGTTTAATAACTGGCTTAAGTAAGGCTAGCTCCACTTTTGGGTTCCTTGAAATTGTAATGGTAATTGAAAAGCATATAACACAAAATAAAAGCAAAAAGCAAAAGTTCTAGCATTGTTTTAAAGTGATTGTGCGGGGTGGTCCCGATCAAAATTAGCAAGATTTTAGCAAAATTACGTCAACACAAGGACTGTTTAGAATATTTACACGGTAAGCGCAGAAAATATCATATCGCTATGTTACTGTACTGTAAGTGTCTGAGAGCGGAGCTGAGTGAGGAAACTCAGGCTACACCGTGTTAGTACAGTTAAGACTGGATTTCACTTCCACGCGCAGCTACCTACCTTGTGCGGAGCTGTAGCCCGCGCGCGCTCGACAGTGTGTCTGCGGCGCGTGCGTGTGGAAGTATGGGTTTCCCTGAGGCTCAGCGGGACTGAGGAACATGTCCAGCTCCTCTGCGGGCAGTAGGGATCCGTGCTGATCCGGGTACGCGGGGCCGTGATGTACCGCGATGGCGTGGCGCTCGGAGGGGTCCGGGCAGCCCAGCGCGCCCTGAGGATGAGGATGAGGAGGATGCGCGTGCATTATCCAGCTGGGCTCCATCCGCAGCCTAAGCACTGTAAGGCAGGTAATCGCGCGCACCCTGCACAGCTGGCGGAGGTCCTGGAAAAAAAAAAACAAAGAAGAGGACACTGTTAGGCTGTGTTCTCTGAGAATTTGCCCGGTGTTCGCGTGCCGGGCGCGTGCCTTGTGTTTCTCCTCTTGCTGTTAAGAGACGCACACGCGCGCGGGAGAGAGAGAGAGGGAAAACGAGAGAGACACTGGACAGAGGACAGAGACCGCCCTCTCCTTTCGGTAAACAAACAGCAGTCAGTCCACATGTTCGCTGCAGTTGCGTAAACCTAACTGTGCGCGTGTATGATGATAAAGTTACTATCAGAAATGAAAGCGCACCTGTACCCGCGCGCCCCGTCTCCGTGTCCAGTGAGCTGTGTGGGTGAGAGATAGAGTGACACTGTGTGTATGTGTGTCGAGCAGGGCTCAGGGTTTATGAGAGCAGGAGGGCGGGCTGCGGTCTCCGACACCGAGCACCTGCAGCCAATCACAGTCCGCCCTGAACTGCATCTGACACGTGAAGAGCCGGTGCGCGCGCGCTGGGGAGCAGCTGGTTTCACACTGAGGTTATAGTGGTGCGGGGTCCTCATATTACTGACTGTGTGGGGCAAGAGAGGCGAAGGGGCAGCTAGGGCATCCGAGGGTCATTTAAAATGGGTGGAATTTGCCTAATTAATAAATAATAATAGTGAAAACAATAAAGCCTAATAAACACCTGCTTGGCCAGTGTGTCCTCTGAAATCAGGAGCATCAATAGGGAGTTTGTCCCTCCTTTGCTGCAGTAACAGACTTTGCTGTTCTGAGAAGGTTTTACACTAGATTTTGGAGATTGCTGTGAGGATTTGATTGCATTCAGCCACACAAGCATTAATGACATCAGGTATTGATGTTAGATGATTAGTTCTGGATTACAATCATCACCCCAACTCATCCCAAAGGAACTGGATGGAGCACCACAACTCCAGAGAACACAGTCCCACTGCTCCACAGCCCAGTGCTGGGAGGCTTTGTATCCCTCTAGCCAATGCTTGGCATTGGGCATTGTGACCTTATCTAGGGCTTTACCAGCCCAGCGTGTGCAACTAAACACCTGTGTCAGCAATGGATCAACCTTAAAGTCTCTAAACTTGTTAATTAGAAGGGGTGTCTGTAATAGAAGCTATCAAATGATTAGTAGTTAAATAAATAACAGAATTGAGTTGTAAAAGGCCTACTTTTGTGGATCAGTTTTACCTGAGAGGTGATGTAATTTCATTGATTTGAATAGGGCTTAATGCATCAGTTCTGTGGTTTTGAGAGTAAGTAAAGGGTGGACCTACCTGTAGATCTTAAGAGGTTGAAATAAATGGCTATTTATATTAATATATCTGAACAAATAAACAGGGCTTTGTGACTTAAGGGGTTAGATATCTATTTATTGTGTATTTTTTGTGCCATAAGTTGATAAGCCAGTGTTTTATAATATTTAATCAAATTCACTCTAGTCTAATTTTACCCACAGCACATTTGGTAACCAAAAAGGTGAATGTCTCCATCAGGTCTACAGATTAAAGTTTTATTTCTCTGTGTCTTTGGCCACTATCTACATCTGAAAAGCTATTAGTCCAAATACAGAAGAGCTGATAATCAGAGCCCAGAGAGAGAGAGAGAGAGACAGACAGACAGACAGTGAAAGAGAGAGAGAGAGAGAGAGAGAGAGAGAAAGAGAGAGAGAGAGAGAGAGAGAGAGAGAGAGAGAGAGAGTTCTAATATTCTACACAACATCCATTGTGTTAATTTAAGTGTTGCTGAACACAATTCAACATTTATGTAAAAATTCACTTCTATTGTTCTTCAAAACCCTAGTATGCTTTAATGGTTTGATTTTGTCTTGTTACTTTTTATTTTTCAGATGGCTGATTAAAATAAAATGACCTGAAACAATATCTGTAGACGCTTCAGAGGATGCTGAAGAAAGGAGGGCTTTAGAGTTTTAGAGAATAAATCCTGCTGTAGTTGAAGTGTCTTAATGACTAAGAAATTCATGATCAAGCCAGTAGATACAGGGAGATAATAGTGCACTCAGTTCACAATGTGTTGTTTTTAGGTGGCACCAAGTTTGCTGTGAGCTCATGCACAGAACATGTTAAATCTCTTAAAATTAAAATGGGTTGAATTTAGTCTGTATAACCAGAGCCAAGTCAAAGATATCATATTTAGTAGCAAACTGCACTTTGCAAGGGTTTTGTTACAAGAAGAATAGATATCAAGTCTCAAATTGTAAGATATGATAATGATTTTGCAGTTTGTTGAGGATTATGAATATACAGTGTATATCTGTTAATTCCTTCCAACTTACACGTTTGAGAGGATTCTACCTAAAGCCAAAACCCCTAAAGCAGCAAACAGATGACACACAGTTTTTTTTTTAAGGACTGCAGATCTGTAGATCTAGCTGTGAAATTGTCTGTTCCGGAAGGTAGGAGTCTTTTTGTGTGATCTCAGTTGGTTCTCCTATAGATGCTTCTGCTTTGGCCAGCCATTACAGCACCTCTTCAGGCTCACTGTGGATTCCTTAAAAGATTCTTTTACTGCCACAAAGGGGTATTTGGTCCTCTGTGCTAAAGAACCTTAAAACAGCGCAGTGTTAAACCTGGAGCTTTTTCTTATAAGGTCATAACACTGTATGCATATTTAGAGTACTTTCTTCGTTATGTCTCCGCTCAATCCCTGGAGCTGAACCTGCTTTCCTTATTGCCTCGGAGTCAAAAGTTCATTTCCTGTGCAGAGAGAAACAGGAAGGCAGTATTTATGGCATATTACAGTGACAACCTGCCAATCATGCTGTCTTTATCCCAGGATAAATAACCAGAGAAAATTTCCAAACTATTGCACAAAACGTTTTTATTTAAATATTTGTGTCATTAGTGCTAGTTTTAGAATGAAACTTTCATTCAACCAAAACAACTTTTTCTTAATTACATCATTGATCAATTAACTGAATCACTAGACCTTTTGAGTGACATTTATGTGTAGTCTTCAATGCCAGTGACTTCACTATGCATCTTAACCCTGACTACCAGTAAGTTTAGGTCTATGACCTAACTTATTATCCAGGTTATTCAGTTCTGCTGCAACAAATCCAGACTTCTTTGCATAGCTCATGTCAGCTGGAATCAAGGTTCAATAATTTAGGCTTCTATGCTGTTCTTTCTGCTCTGTAGAGCTGAGTCCATATATACTATATGTCCAAAAGTTTGTAGACACTTGTTTGTCAAATATTTCCTCTGAAATCAATGTTATTATAGGAAGTTTGTTCCCCTTTGCTGCAATAACAGCCTCTACTCCTCTGGGAAGACTTTACATTAGATGTTGGAACAATGCTTTGAGGATTTGTCTGCAATCAGCCACAAGAGCATTAGTGAGGTCAGGTACTGATGTTGGGTGATTAATTCTGAATCACAAACGCCACCCCAGCTCATCCCAAAGGTATTGGATGAAGCTTCATCACTTCAGAGAACGCAGTTCCACTGCTCCACAGCCAAATGCAACTCTAGAAAAATGCTTGGTGTTGGGCATGGTGTCCTTAGGCACATGTGTGGCTGCTCAAGAGTGTCCCATTCTGTTGGTCAGTGCTTTTCTATGGAGACTGTGTGTGCATAACTGAACACCTGTGACAGTAGTGGGTGCATCCTAAAGTAGCTGAATTCCTCATTAGAAGGGGTGTCTTGACACTTTCAGTGGTGAACCATGACTATTAGAACTACGCCATAAAAGTCAAAGCTCAAGGAAAAAAACAAGTGAAAAAACAACTCCGTGGTAATGCAAATGATCCCACTGTGGCCCTTTGGGATTCTAGTATGTTAGCACTAAACTAATGGTATGTCACATGAACATTTTTTAGTGATTCTAGACAATTGCAGACATCTAAAGCTTGTAAAAACATATTTCAAAATATATTCAAACATATTTGAATTTATTCCATTTATTTTTTATTTTAATCATATAACAGACATATTAACATGTATGTTGCTTCGTACACACCAGTTTTACAGAAATTCCTTCAGTAAGGAGCGCTAGCCTAGAGCAACCACTGCTGCTCCATTTCTAACTGGTTAGGCTATCACTCCCATTAGTCAGTAACATACCCAAGACTTCAAGAAGCATCTCACAAACCTGGTCCCACCCATTACAAATTACAATGTGATTGGTTGATTCCATTGTCACTCCATAGTTATGTTAGTGGTTAATCTGATGAGGCCTTCCGTTCAGTTCCTGAAGTCCTGACCAACAGGTGAGCTTGCATGGCTGTATACATCAGTTTTTTGTTGGCCATTTGAAAAGTTTTCCTCTTTTTGTTTCCAGCCAAAACTTAACAATGAAATAAGAGTAGTATTACAATACATGCAGAGTTTAAATATAACAAGTTTGATGATACCATTAAATAAAAATTAATATAGTTATGTATTATTTTTTGTTTTACAGAAATCATTAAGCCTTCTGGAAGGCCTAGAAGACCATGAGGGCCTCAAATCCTTAATTCTGCTGAATAATTCTTAATGAAGACCTTTAGTTAAGCAATAATCACTGTCTTAAAGAGATGATGGTGTGTGTGTGTATGGGTGTGTGTGTGTGTGTGTGTGTGTGCATGAGTGTGTTCACACAAATGTCTGAGTGTGTGTGTGTTTGTGTGCATCCAAAAAATCAGTGCACATTTGATTGTGTTTGTGTCTTTAATATGTGTGTGACCTTGTATGTGTGTTTGTGTGTTTTGTGGATGTGTGTGTGGGTGTGTGTGTGTTTTGGATGTAGCAATGTGGCATGAATAACCCGTAACCCCTCCTTTACCCACAGTGCCTTGCAGGCCTGGTTTTCACCACATCAGGATACACTGCTGCTTGCTGAATTCCGGTGTGAAATGGAGCGCTGGTGCACCGCAACGTGTGTGTTCTACACACACATTCCTTTCCAAACTGAGGGACAGGTGCCTCCAACGGACACTCACACACACACAAACACATCCAGAAACTACTCACATGCAAAGATGCTTTACTGTAATAACGCACAGCTTGTAGTATTCACAGTTGCACAGTCTCTTAGATTAGATTAACATGCATGAATAACATGCATATCTCAAGCTTTTGCCTGTGCATAATCATTCTTATTCACAAAGTCAACTGGCTACATATTCTATAACTCCAACCAGCTACACATTATTTCTGCATTTAATCTGAGTGTTTAGCCATAACGCACATAGGCACACACACACATGCACACACGTGTGCATACACACACACACACACACACACACACACACACATACACACATGCAATCACACTCTATTTCCTTTGAGAAAGTGTATGATTGAGTTGTGAGCTGTGTGAGAAAGTGTGATTGGATGAGTGATGTGATTG